TCCAGGCTGGAGTGCAATGGTGCAATCCCGGCTTACTGCAACCTCCACCTTCCGGGTTCAAGTGATTCTCCTGCCTCAGCCTCCAGAGTAGCTGGGATTACAGGCATGTACCACCATGCCCAGCTAATTTTTTTATTTTTAGTAGAGACAGGGTTTCTCCATGTTGGTCAGGCTGGTCTCGAACTCCCAACTTCAGGTGATCTGCCCACCTCGGCCTCCCAAAGTGCTAGGATTACAGGTGTGAGTCACCATGCCCAGCCATGTTATGTGCTGGGGTCATCTTTGGTAGAAAGGAATCTGAACAAAAGAACATGACCAGTTGGGCACATTCCTAGAAAAAGGGAATGATTTTGCTTTTTAGATGGCACAATTGTATAACTGTACATCCAGTAGCTGGAACAGGCCTTATCACCTCCAGAAAGACTTTTCAGACACTGCCAAATGAAACTCTTTTCTCTTTCCTCAAGACTCCTAAATACTTTGTTGGCCTACTCAGCCAGGAGTCATCCCATAATCTCTCTCAAATTACTTATGTATATAATCCTCTCTCCCACAAAAATGAAGAATCTCTTATTTATCATGCGTATGGTAGACCCTGAATAAATGATGAATCAACTGAATTGAGGCACAAACGTACCTCTTCTGATGAGATTGCCATAATACATCTAAAATTTATTCATCTAGCCAATGATGGGTAAAAATAGAGAAATTAAAATTTATTCACCCTTTAAAGCAAAATTTTAAAAGTTACCTGGCATGATCCACGTTATGTGCATTTTTCTTCACTTTAGTAGGAGAATCAATTTTTACTCCAAGGCTTCTTAGTTGCTTAAGAGTTGCATTAAGAACACAATCTTTGTCTACTAGTCTTGAATGATGTGGTTTTTTCTTTGTATGGTAAACGTTTTGGGTTCTGGTGCATTCATTGCTGATAATTACTGCTTTGGTAGATGGCTGCTCAGTTTCCTTGGAGGAATTATTTAATAGGTGGTTTACTTGACCCTGACAAAAACAAACAAACAAACAAACAAAAATTTGAAAAATCACTATTAACAATGTTAGGGCTGAGTGCAATGGTTCATGCCTATAATCCTAGCACTTTGGGAGGCCGAGGCAGGAGTATCACTTGAGCCCAGGAGTTCAACACCCTGGACAACACAGTGATACTCTAACACTACAAAAAACTAAAAATTAGCTGGGCATGGTGGCATATACCTGTTGTTCCAGCTACTAAGGAGGCTGAGGCAGGAGGACCATTTAAGCTACAAGGCTGAGGCTGCAGTGAGCCATGATTGTGCCACTATACTCTATCCTGGGTGACAAAGTGAGACTGTCTCTAAAAAATAAAAATTAAAAAAAATTTAGAAAGTTAAAAAACAATTTTATGTTAAGACCTTAATGATACCATAAGTAAAGAGCAGGGAAAATCAAAATAATATCATCTTGTCAAATTCTACAAAACATCAAGTAGGCAGGCATTATGGAATTATTTGCAGGTATTATGGGGTTTTTATAGAAGCACATCCTAATGAACAATCTCATCAGACCCTAGAGAAAACAGAATGTTTGTTCAGACTTCATTCACTTAAAAACCAGCACAGGCTGGGCATGGTGGCTCACACCTATAATCCCAGCATTTTGGGAGGCTGAGGCGAGCGAATCACTTGAAGTCAGGAGTTCAAGACTGGCCTAGCTAACAGGGTGAAACCCTGTGTTGACTAAAAATACAAAAAGTAGCTGGGTGTGGCAGCACGTGCCTGTAGTCACAGCTATTCAGGAGGCTGAGGCATGAGAATCACTTGAACCCAGAAGGCCCAGGTTGCAGAGGGCCAAGATGGTACCACTGTACTCCAGAGTCAGGGCAAAAGGGTGAGACTCTGTCTCAAAAATAAAATAAAATGATAAATAAATAAATAAATAAAAATAAAAACCAACATATTTAAAACTTATTTGAGCACGGGTGCGTGGCTCATAGCTATAATCCCAGCACTTTGGGTGGCTAAGGCGAACAGATCACTTGAGGTCTGGAGTTTGAGACCAGCCCGGCCAACATGGCAAAACCCGGTCCCAATTAAAACTACAAAAATTAGCCAAGACTGGGTGCAGTGGCTCATACCTGAAATCATAGGCACTTTGGGAGGCCAAGGCAGGAGGCTTACTTGAGGCCAGAAGTTTGAGACCAGCCTGGCCAACAGGGTGAAATCCTGTCTCTGCTAATAATACAAAAATTAGCCGAGTATGGTGGCATGTGCCTGTGGTCCCAGCTACCAGGAGAGCTGAGACAAGAGAATTGCTTGAACCTGGGAGGCAGAAGCTGCAGGGCACCGAGATCACATCACTGCATTCCCCATTCCCGCCTGGGCAACATAGTGAGACCTCTGTCTCCAAAAAAAAAAAAATTAACCAGGTGTGGTGGCAGGCACCTGTAGTCCCTGCTACTTGGAGGGCTGAGGCATAAGAATCACTTGAACCCAGGAGGTGGAGGTTGCAATGAGCTGAGACCATGTCACTGAACTCCAGCCTGGGCAACAGAACGAGTCCCTGTCTCAAAAAAAAAAAAAAAAAAAAAAATCATTTCAGTAATTCTCCAAGTATTTTCAAGGATTTATGCTTTTTTTTTTTTGAGACAGAGTCTCACATTGTCACCCAGGCCAGAGTGCAGTGGTGCAATCTCCACTCACTGCAACCTCCATCTCCCAGGTTTAAGCCATTCTCCTGCCTCAGCCTCCCAAGTAGCTGAGACCATAGGTGCCCACCACCAATCCCAGCCAATTTTTTGTATTTTTAGTAGAGACGGGGTCTCATTATGTTGGCCAGGCTGGTCTTGAACTCTTGACCTCGTGATCCACCCGCCTCAGCCTCCTAAAGTGCTGGGATTACAGGTGTGAGCCACTGTGCCTGGCTGCTAAATTTTTTATAAACAGGTTTTAAATAATGCTTTCATTTGATGATAATATGTTTCAGTTACAAACTAGGCCTTTGTGATATTCACAGAATTAGGTTCCTTTTTTTTCTCACTTTCTAAAAGCAGGAATGACCTGTGATACTATTTCTGCATATTTCATTCCCTGAGCATACAAGCTACTCACACCAGTCTAGGACCTAGCAAGCAAATAACAAATATGCGTTCATTGATGGATACATAGGGCCCTGTGAAGTATGTTTAATTAGCCTTCTCACAAATGGACAAATAAAATGTTCTACAATTTGGGTGATAGTCACAGCCATGGTTTCTTTAACCATTAAGTCCCAGGTCATATTTTAAGATTTCTAAGACTAGTTCCTCCAACCAGAACTATCCCTTTATTCTGTGTTCTCTTTGCTTTACACTGCTACTTCTCAACAACCTGTCTTATAATTGCTTGTTTCTTGTCTGTATGTGCTGTGTTTCCCCTGGGCTCTCAAGGGTGCAGAGTGTCATATTCACCTTAATAGTATCGACTTCACTTAGCCTACTGCCTTAGACTAAGCTAAGTATTTAATACACACTGGCTTACCTGAACTAAAATCAGTAAATATTATTATAGATATCTTGCCACTTTCCAATTTTCAAATTTCTGAGAAACTCTTATTAATTTTGGTTTGAATTAGGCACATTTATACTTTAAAAATAAAGCTTTTTTCCTAAATATTTAGGTATGTTTACAGTAAATTACTGAATTTAAGTTATAATTTATGAAAAGCTAAAAGAAATGTATCATTGTTAATTTGGCAAAAATCTTTTTATCTTAAGGTCTCAATCAGTTTAAATCCAGGAAAAGCTTAACTTGTATATCCTATATTAAATAACTTCTCTGAAAGATGAAATGCTCAAATTTTCTTACCAACAAATCCTGGTAAATTTTCTGGTTATCTGATGGTTGATGAGGCAATGGTTGCATTACTTGCTCAATTTTTGGTTCCCCTGATGTTTCAGAATTGTTACTGGCACCCCCTGTTGGTCCAGTCTGTAAACACATGCCTACATTTTCTGCCAGCTGGCCATTTGGAAAGAACACAGGTACATCAGGTTCTTTCCTCACAACCAGAGAAGAGCTGCTGAGAAGAATATACAATGTGTTAGTTATCAAGGTACATTTAACATCTAGTTGAAATGTAGTAACTCTGGAAGAAAGGGTTAAGATTCAAGCAGCATCTGGTTTATATTTTTAGCTCTTACTGATGCTACATAAACATACCATCGTAGCCAGGTACAGTGGCTCATGCCTGTAATCTGTGTTTTGGGAGGGCAAGGCAAAAGAATTGCTTGAGGCAAGAAGTTCAAGATCAGACTGGGGAATATAGCAAGACCCCAGCTATACAAAAAAACATTTTGATTAGCTGGGTGTGGCACCATGCACCTGTAATCCCAGCTGCTCAGGAGGCTGAGCAAGAGGATCACTTAGCCCAGGAACTTGAGACTGCAGTGAGCTATGATTGTACCACGATATTCAGCCTAGGTATCTGAGCAAGACCCTGTTTCTATAAGAAACAAAAATGAAAACGCCCCATCTTAACAGGCTGCATATAAACTAAACCATGCCAGGCGCAGTGGCACATGCCTGTAGTCCCAGCTATTTGGGAGGCTGAGGCTTGAGGATCGCTTGAGTCCGGGGGTTCTGGGTTGTAGTACGCTATGTTGATCGGGTGTCTGCACTAAGTTCGACATCAATATGGTGACCTCCCAGGAACGGGGTACCACCAGGTTGCCTAAGAAGGGTGAACTAGCCCAGGTCAGAAATGGAGCAAGTCAAAACTCCTGTGCTGATCAGTAGTGGGATCGCACCTGTGAATAGCCACTGCACTCCAGCCTGGGCAACATAGCGAGACTCCTTCTCTAAAAATAAATAGATAAATAAATAAAATAAAATAAATGAAAGAAAAATAACTAAACTATGATACCTTTTAACTTGTGTTACTTATACTTAAGACAACTTTCTTTGAAGCCTGGAAAACAAGCTGTTGATTTCTCCTGAACTTGATGGCAATGGAAATTTTAAGAGCATTTAAACATTTTAGATACGTTATTTGTTCATTCTAAGTTTTGGGTTTTTTTTTCTTTTTTTTTTTTTTTGTGGGAGTCTCCCTGTGTCACCCAGGCTGGAGTGCAGTGGTGTGATCTTGGCTCACTGCAACCCCTGCCTCCCAGACTCAAGCAATTCTCCTGCCTCAGCCTCCCGAGTAGCTGAGATTACAGGCAAGCACCACTGTGCTAAGCTAGCTTTTGCATTTTTAGTAGAGACAGGGTTTCACCATGTTGGCCAGGCTGGTTTCAAACTCCTGATTTCAAGTGATCTGCTCCCCTTGTAATGCGAGGATTACAGGCATGAGCCACCACGTCAGGCCCAAGTTTTAAAATAATAGTGAAGAAAAGGAGATCCCTGCACACTGTTAATGGAGATGCAGATTTGTATAAAATTATATTGCAAAAAACGCTAAGAAGGTTCCTCAAAAAATTAAAAATAGAACTACCATATGTCCAGTAATACCATTACTGGGTTATCTATCCAGAAGAAATAAAATTGGTAATACCATTACATATGTGCCCCTGTGCTAACTGTGGCACTATTCACAAGTCAAGATATGAAATCAACCTATGTGTCCATCAATGAATGAATGGATAAAGAAAATGCTATAAGTATAGACAATTCAGCCATTAAAAAAAAGGAAATCCTGAAATTTGCAATAACATGGATGATTTAGAGAATATTATGCTTAGTGAAATAAGCCAGGCCCAGATTATCACTCAAATGTAGTATCTAAAAACATTTATCTCATAGAAGGAGAGAGCAGAATGGTGGTTACCAGAGGCTGGGGTGGTTGGGGAAGGCAAGCTGGGGAGATAGTGGTCAAAGAATATATATTTAGGCTGGCTGCAGTGGCTCACACTTGTAATCCCAACACACTGGAGGGCCAAGTGGGGCAGATCACTTGAGGTGAGGAGATGGAGACCAGCCTGGCCAATGTGATGAAACCCCATCTCTACTAAAAATACAAAAATTAGCTGGGTGTGGTAGTGCATGCCTATGATCCCAGCTACTCGAGCGGCTGAAGCAGGAGAATCACTTGAACCCAGGAGGTGAAGGTTGCAGTGAGCCAAGATAGCAACTGCACTCCAACCCAGGCGACAGAGTGAGACTCTGTCTCAAAAATAAAAATAAAAAAGTACAGTTAGGAGGAGTAATCCCAGCATTTTTGGAGGCCGAGGCGGGCAGATAATGAGGTCAGGAGTTCAAGACCATCCTGGTCAACATGGTGAAACCCCGACTCCACTAAAAATAGAAAAATTAGCCAGGCGTGGTGGCATGCGCCTGTAATCCCAGCTACTCAGGAGACTGAGGCAGGAGAATCACTTGAACCTGGGAGGCAGAGGTTGAAGTGAGCCGAGATCACACCACTGCACTCCAGCCTGGGTGACAGAGGGAGGTTCCATCTCAAAAAAAAAAAAAAAAAGAAAGAAAGAAAATAAATTTGAAATAAAATAATAGTCAAGATCTTGTCAAATGAAATTCACAACGTGCCATTTATTTTTTTTCAGACAGGTTCTTTCTTTGTCAAAGTGGCACAATCATAGCTCACTGCAGCTTCAATCTCCCAAGCTCAAATGATTCTCCCACCTCAGCCTCTCAAGTAGTAATGACTACAGGTGAGCACCACCACACCCGGCTAAGTTTTGTATTTTTTGAAGAGATGAGGTTTTGCCATGTTGCCCAGGCTGGTGTCGAACTCCTGAGCTCAAGCCATCCACCTGCTTCAGCCTCCCAAAGTGCTGAGATTACAGGTGTCAGCCACTGTGCCCAGCATAAGACGACATTTATAAACACAGGATATACCTGATGGTATTCCTTTTCTTGTTTATGCTTTTACGTATTTTATCAATTTTATACAATGAGCATTTATTACTTTCAAAATTAGAAAATAAAACATTTTTTAAATAACTAAGGAAAGCAATATTAAAAAACATGATTCTAGTTAGAATAGTAATCTGTGGTTCTTGTATAAAATAGAGAAGGCCAGGTGTGGTGGGTCACACCTGTAATCCAAGCACTTTGGGAAGTTGAGGCAAGTGGATCACAAGGTCAGGAGTTCAAGATTAGCCTGGCCAAGATGGCAAAACCCCATCTCTACTCAAAATGCAAAAAAATTAGCTGAGCACAGTGGCAGGCACCTGTAATCCAAGTTACTCGGGAGGCTGAGGCAGAGAATTGCTTGAACCCAGGAGGCAGAGGTTGCAGTGCGCTGAGATCGCGCCACTACACTCCAGCCTGGGCGACAGAGTGAGACTGTCTCACAAAAACAAACAAACAAAACAAATTAAAAAATGAAAAAAGAAAAATTTCAAGCATGAGAGAATTGTTTAACAAACCACCATATACAATCAGTTTCAAAAATTACCAACAAATAGCCAATTTCATTTCATTTATACTCCTAGCCATTTCATTCTCCCACAGAATTAATTTGAAGCCAGTCTCAGATAACATTTCACATATAAATATTCCGGTTGTAGCTCTCAAAAATAGACTCTTACATATATAATGGCAATATGGAGAATCTTTAGAAATTTCCCCATCTCTCAGTGGTTCATGACTATAATCCCAGCACTTTGGAAGGCTGAGACAGGTGGATCACCTAAGGTCAGGAGTTCAAGATCAGCCTAGGCAACGTGGGAAGCTCCATCTCTACTAAAAATACAAATATTAGCTGGGTATGGTGGCACATGCCTGTAATCCAGCTACTTAAGAGGCCTGGCCAACATGGGAAGCCCCATCTCAACTAAAAATACAAAAATTAGCTGGGTGTGGTGGCACATGCCTATAATTCAGCTACTTAGAAGGCTGAGGCTCAAGATGGCTTGAACCTGGGAGACAGAGGTTGCAGTGAGCCGAGATACTGCCATTGCACTCCAACTTGGATGACAGTGAGACTCTGTCTCAAAAATTAAATAAAATAAAATAGGCCAAGTGCGGTGGCTCAAACCTGTAATCCCAGCACTTTGGGAGGCCAAGACAGGTGGATCACCTGAGGTCAGTAGTTCAAGACCAGCCTGGCCAACATGGTGAAACCCCATCTCTACTAAAATTACAGGCCGGGCACAATGGTTCACACCTGTAATCCCAGCACTTTGGGAGGCCGAGGCAGGCAAATCACAAGGTCAGGAGATTGAGACCATCCTAGTTAACATGGCAAAACCTCGTCTCTACTAAAAACACAAAAAATTAGCCTGGCTTGATGGCCTGTGCCTGTATAGTCCTAGCTACTTGGGAGACTGAGGCAGGAGAATTGTTTGAACCCTGGAGGTGGAGACTGCAGTGAACCAGGATCGCACCACTGCACTCCAACCTGAGCAACAGAGTGAGACTCCATCTCAAAAAAAAAAAAAAAAAAAAAATTTATATATATATATGTATGTATGTATGTGTGTATATAGCGCCAATGACTGGATATGGTTCTAGAAGGCTCAGAGTTAACAGTTACATAGAAATTATATAAGGTAAAGACATAATGAAAAGACATAAATGAAAATACCATTTAGAAAATAGTTTCTGAGTCAGACTTAAAAGAAATTAGAATTAAAAACAAAAAAACCTGAACAGAACAACAACTGTAATGAATAATAATGCATTGTATATTTCAAAATTGCTAATGGTCGACATTAAATGTTTTTACCATAAAAAATGTTAAGTATATGAAGTGATAGATTTATTGGTCTGACTTAATCATTCCACATTGTAAATATGCATCTAAACATTGTGCCACGCAAATACATACAATTATTATTGTCCATTAAAAAATTTTTTTTAAGTAGGACAAAAGACTAAATCAAAGAGACCTTACTTGGATACAGAAAGTGGCTGGTTAAATTCTTCTTCCACAGCAACGTTGCTCTCTTCAAAGCTGGGAATATCAACTGCTTTTAATGAAGATGTACTACCTGGAGGACTTGTGACTTCATTATTAATATCCACAGAAAAATTCATGTCCTCACTGGAAATTTTGGTATCATCTTGCTTCAGCTGAGAGTTAGGCTCTTGATCATCACCTGCTGCATTCCAAAACAAGCTAGCACCTGGAGGTTAAATAATTTAAGATATTGAAACAAACATTCGACTTTAAAAATTATACTGACAAACCTTTGCTAAGAATAGCTGGCCGGGCGAGGTGGCTCACGCCTATAATCCCAGCACTTTGGGAGGCCAAGGTGGGTGGATCGCAAGGGCAGAAGTTCAAGACCAGCCTGGCCAAGACGGTGAAACCCTGTCTCTACTAAAAATACAAAAATTAGCTGGGCACAGTGGTATGTACCTGTAATCCCAGCTACTCAGGAGGCTGAGGCAGGAATTGCTTGAACCCAGGTGGCAGAGGTTGCAGTGAGCCACGATCGCAGCACTGCACTCTAGCCTGGGTGATAGCGTGAGACTCTGTCTCAAAAAATAAATAAATAAATAAAAGAACAGCTATACTGGCCAGGTGCAGTGGCTCACGCCTGTAATACCAACACTTTGAGAAGCAGAGGTGGGAGGATCACCTGAGCTCAGGAGTTCAAGACCAGGGTGGGCAACATGCAGAAATCCCAGCTCTCCAAAAAAAAAAAAATCCAAAAAAATTAGTCAGGCATGGTGGTGTGCCTATAGTCTCAACTACTTGGGAGGCAGAGGTGGGAGATCACTTGAGCCCAGCCAGATCAAGGCTGCAATGAGCTGTTGTGATTGTGCCACTGCACTCCAGCCAGGGCAACACAGTGAGACTCTGTCTCAAAAAAAAAAAAAAAAAAGAAAAAAAAAAGCTATCTTAATACAATTTTTAGATTATATTTCCTCAGAAATGCTAGGAAGAGGTAGGTGGAAGACAGAAAGAGAGAAAATTGGGGACGGGTGGGGTAGAAGGGCACATTCTGGATTCTGCTTTTTCAAGAAAAAATGGCTCTGAAATGATTTGCTTCATATATTAAGGTTCTGAATATGATCTGTGGGGTGGGGTGTTGTATATTGAAAACCGCTGGTCTGAATAACATGAGATACTATATAAAACACAAATCCCTAGGTTCTCTGGTTTTGATATTTAAATGCAATATTTAAGAGACTTCATTGGAAATGCATCAGACATGTGTAATATCTGTAATATCGGGCAGGTATTTAAAAAATCAACTGTTTTCCAATCTTTTTTTTATTTTGTTTTTGAGACAGTCTGTCACTTTTTTACACAGGCTGGAATGCAGTGACACAATCATAGCTCACTGCAGCTTCAATCTCCCTAGGCTCAAGTGATCCTCCCACCTCAGCCTCCTGAGTAGCTGGGACTACAGGTACACGCCACCATGTGTGGCTAATTTTTTTATTTTTTATTTTTTTTAAAGACGAGGCTTCACCATGTTGACCAAGCTGGTCTTGAACTCCTGGTGTCAAGGGATCCACCTGCCTTGGCCTCCCAAAGTGCAGACACTATAGGTGTGAGCCACTGTGCCTGGCCTATTCAGCAATCTTTATGAGCTATTTGGGTGTAGTATTGTTTACTTACTCTCTTTCTTTACATTAACTCTATTTTTTACTGAGCCTCATCATTTCTGTAAAATCATAGATTTGATATGCTTATTGTATTTATACCTATGAGTATTGGAAAAGATATATTTACAAAATATAAACATTAACTTGTTTAACACCCGAAATCATCTTTTGTACCACAAGTCATATGCATTCTATAATTTGGGAAATATTGCTACTATATAATGGTTTAAACAGATGGTTAAAACCAAAAAGTAGGCCAGGCATGGTGGCTCATGCCCGTAATCCCAGCACTTTGGGAGGCCGAGGTGGGTGTATCATGAGGTCAGGAGTTTGCGACCAGCCTGGCCAACATAGTGAAACCCCCATCTCTACTAAAAATACAAAAATTAGTCAGGCATGGTGGCATGGGCCTACAGTCCCAGCTACTCAGGAGGCTGAGGCAGAAGAATCGCTTGAACCTGGGAGGCGGAGGTTGCAGTGAGCCAAGACCACGCCATTGCACTCCAGCCTGTGTGACAGAGTGAGACTCCATCTCAAAAAAA